GTGCGATAGGCGATGCCGGATTCAAGTTGGATGAATACACCGACGGAAAGCCGTCGGGCATCATTGCCGATGCGGAAACTCAAACCACGAAGCTGACCGACCGTGATGAGTTCCTCGTCATTGGCTGCGATGGCCTGTGGGATGTGATGTCGTATGATAGAGTCGTGCGATTTTGCTCCCAGCTTGCAGCGGAGGGCGTGCCACCACAGGATATCACCGATAGATTGTGTCAGGAGGCTTTGCAGCAAGGCAGCACTGACAATGTGACATGTGTGTACATCAATATAAAGACCAAGCAACCAAACTCTGGTGACTGGCGTCCTCTGAGTGCGGCTTCTACCTCTCAGAAAACTGCGTAGGGAGCAAGTAAATGTATTAGTTCTCCGGTTTTTTTTCCTCCACTCCCTTCTTTTTCCGTTGTTTCTTTTCTTTCTTCCTGTGTGTTTTTTTTCTTGTTGTTGTTGTTGTGCGCCTTTTATTGCCATTTTGCCGGTTGTTGGTTTTCTTAGAGCTGGAGAGCGTTGTGTTGTCTTTGTTTATTTTAGCTTGTTGGTGTTGTTTTTTCTTTGTTTGCTTCTAACTGCAACCAGTGCGACGCGAGGAATGTATTATCCCAAGTAGAGTTTTCTTGAGCTTCCGGTTTGTACTTCTTTAGTGCTCCTTTTTTTGTGCTGGTTTTTTTTTTGCCGCACACAAACACAGCATGTGGAGTTTCTGGTTTTGTGGAAAGCACATGAGACTGACGGGCGTTCTCGTGAGATGGTTGCATCGGTTTTGATGAATAACACCGCTTTATATAGATCGGAGTTTTGCTTTCTGGTCTCTTAGACGTTTTATTTCCTTTGTCTGTGTGCTTCTTTGCCGCTCAGTGCGTGGGCAGGGGTGGGGAACGTTGGAGGTGCCCTCTGTAGACAGGGGCAGCGGCGTGCACACGCATGCAGCGGTAGTCGTCAGTGGTGCATTCGTCTCTTCCCTCACTTTTGCTTTGCTTTGCCGTAAATGACGCACGCACTTGGCCGGGTGTATATATAGGAGGGTCTCCTTTGGGTCTAGAAGGCGTGGTTCACGGTACAGGATTCCATTTCTACCGTCACTGGCAGTTGTCACAAGCTCACGTAGACAAGACTATTCGGCCTTTTTTCTGCCGCGGAAAAAGTCATCATAATCAAACCCAACAAAAATCACGCATAGGAGACACGTATTAAAGTAGGGCGCGTGAGTGGTAACAAGGGCTATCAAAAGAAGTCGCCACTTGGATAGGGCGTAAGGTGCGTATAGCATTAAAAAAAAATCACCAACTCAGCAGAAGGGGGGAAAAGCTGATAGGAGCGGCACGGGTACAAGAAGACGACGACAATCAAAATGAACAGAGACATCAATGGACAAGAAAGTGGCGAGACGCTGGCTCCACTTGCTTATCCGTCCTCTGGTGTCACACAGTCACTATGGCGCATCTTTGAGTATGGAGTGACGTCGGAGCAGGGCACCCGAAAGACAATGGAGGACCAGCACGCCATGGTCTCAGAGACCATCCCTTTCTTTGCCGTGTATGACGGGCATGGTGGCACGCAATGCGCCGAGTTTCTCCGCGACAATTTGCACACATTAATTCTTAGTCACCCAGATGTCATGACGAATCCCGAGAAGGCGGTACGTGATGGGATAGCCAAGGCTGAGGCGGATTTTCTCACAAGATGTGCCAATGGCAAATGTGAGTCTGGCAGCACGTGTGCCGTTGCCATGATTGTGGACGACGCACTAGTGACGGGTAATGTTGGCGATACTGAGATAGTATTGTGTCGTGCGGGGTCTCCATTGGTGCTGTCAAAGAAGCACAGCTTGCATAGCAACGCGGCGGAGAGCGAGCGTGTCAAGGCCTGCGGCGGCAGGATCATCAGTAACCGCGTGGGGCATCCAAAGTTTAACCCTCAAGTGCTGAGCCTGGGAATTACCCGTGCCATAGGCGATGCCGGATTCAAGTTGGATGAATACACCGACGGAAAGCCGTCGGGCATCATTGCCGATG